CCCTTTTCAGGCTCAAGCAACTCAAGACAAGGGGCCACCAGCTCCCCTGAATCCCTCGCTAGAGCAGGGGGCCACGAAAGTTCGAGGCTACCCGCTGATGAGTGGAGGTGATTCTGCAGATAGCAGCATGCGGCGGCAACATGAAAATATTCACGAATCGCAACATACAAGAACCGCAGCAGAAGTAGCAGCAGCAGCGGCAACATCGGGAGAAACTGTAGCCGCCATTCATCCTGGTCCACATGCATTAGGTGCTGCTGCCAATGCAGCTGCTGGCACACCTGATGGGGCAACGCATCAAGAGGCAGAGCTCTGCATTATTTGTTGCAACACCGTAAGACGTCTGTACACATGAGGACCGTCTTCTTTCACATATGTCTTTAGATTCACATACACTGCGATGCATTGCAATTTCAATGGCAAATATGGAGATGCATCAATTCCACAGAGATATCGCTTACATGCGAAAAGCAGTGCATGCACGCTGACCATGCATGCACTGCTTTGTCAGAAAGTATTTTAGGGTATAAGGAACTTGGGGGTTTTATGCGCTGTCTTTGCATGCAGATAGCGAGTGCTGTGCTGCTGTTCTGCGGGCACGGAGGCCTCTGTTATACGTGTGCTGAGACCTGCTTCCACAGGTGACCTGACAGCCGAGTAGCAACGATAGCAGCATCAGCGTCTGCTGCTGCTGCGATTGCTGAAGCTTGAGTCAGTGGCAATGCTGCTGCCGCCTGTAGTGAGGACTCTGCATACCAGCTGTCGTGTGTAATTAAATAACGCATGGAAAGTTGCATGCATGTACTGGGTTGCATATGTGAACTGCATGCATGCATTAATTCGTGTTGGACTGCATGCAGGAGCCGCCTGTGTCCGACCTGCCGGTGCCCCGTAAAAGGCGTACTGGAGCTGAACGAGGAGCAGGCGAGCCAAAGGCGACAAGGAGCACAGCTCGAGGGAGTGGTGAGGGATGTCGCCAGCTAAGCATTGAAGCATGCTGCTGCTGCTGCAACATGCTGCTGTAGTTGCTGCAGCTGCCTCCGACGTTGCAGGCTTTGACGTCCCGCTGCTGGTAGTTTCCGTTACTTCGGCTTCTGCACTGGGGGAATTGCAGACATCAGCAACGTCAAGCCAGCCCAACGACATGAGGATGCAGCTGCAGCCGAACCAACCGCAGCTACACCACTGGCCCAACTGCAGCGGCAAAGTGGACAGCAACAGCAATAAACCCGACTTTGCATCAAAACATTACCTGGCTTGTGCTGGGCATGTCAAACCTATGGCATTTGCAGCAGCAGCATCAGGAGCAACAGCGGCAGTCGCATCAACCCAACGGGCGTCAACGACCATCTGCAGCAGGAAGAACAGCAGCAACAGCAACAGCAGCAGCAACAGCAGGTTCTGCTGCTGCTGCTGTTTTTTCTCTGACAGCAGACGTTGTGGTGCCTCAGCAACAGCCTCCTCATCAGACAGCAGCAGCAACAGCAGCATCAGCAGCAGCAGCAGCAACGTAGATAATGATAATATGGGGAACAGTGGTATCTTTTGCTGCGTCTGTTGGAGCTGCAGCAGCAGCGCATTGAATGGTTTGTTGCGCTGCAGTTGAAGCCAGGTGTCTGTACACCGTCATTGTTATTGTTCAATTCCTTATACAGCAGCACAATCAGGAGGAGTAGGCTTAGTAGGAGGTAGTATACATGCAGCAGCAGCAGCAGCAACTAACGGAGAGAGATGGCTATGCATGCGCTGCGACTGGGAGAAAAGACTCGTGGGGCAGCAGCAGCAGCGCAGCAGTTTTAGTTTATCAACTGCTGTTTGTTGTGTATGTGGTAAGAAAGTAGTGTCTCTTTTTGTTTCCTTTCAATTCCTTCCAGTTGCTGAAGAGTTTAAATGCTGCTGCTGCTGCTTTTCCTGCTGCTGCTGCTGCTGCTATGTACAGGCAGCAAGCGCAGCAGCAAAGAATAAGGTATGAGAGAGCGTCTTTATTAGGAGGAATATCCTTAATTAGGCCTCTTTATGGTGATGCACCTGCAGACCAGGCTGCTGCAGTTGCCGTAGTGGCTGCTGCTGCAGCAGCAGCAGCATCTGCTGCTGCACCTGCAGTGGCATCATCATCTGCTAGCAGCGTCAAACGAAGTGGTAGCAGCAACAGCAGCAGCAGCAACAACAAGAATAAGGCCCCCAGAAGTAGCACCACCACCAAAAAGCGCATGCTAAAGATGGAAGCAGATGCAGCAGCAGGAACTGCAGCAGAAGGACAGGGAGCAGCAACAGCAGCAGCAGCAGCAGGTAGTACACTAGATGATACCCCTATCTCTGTAGACGCATATGCAGATGATGTCTGCGCCGTCTCGTCATAACAGCAACAGCCGCAGCAGCCAGGCTAGCTAGCTAGGCATGTGGGTAGCTAGCTAGCCAGCTAGCTACTATCAGGTCTACCTATGTAGCTAGCTAGTCAGCTAGCTAGCTAGCTAGTCAGCTAGCTAGCTAGCTAGTCAGCTAGCTAGCTAGCTATTAGGACAAAATTCGTTTATTTTCTTTTCTAGTTTGATTGTTTGGGCAGTATTAGTTTTTACTAGAATTCTCTGCGGTCTAATAAACCCTAAACCCTAAACCCCTATATATATATATATA